TAGGTTTTCAAAGTTGCTTAGGAACATACACTTCATAATTATACGCGGAACAGTACTTGACTACCTCATACAGTCATGTTAGCTTGTAAAGCAGCAGTCTGTCATGGTGACAACTAGATAAGCAATCAAAGCATCAACAGCCTGCAAATGTACTTAAACACCAACTCGTCTAGATGTATCAGAGAACTAAGCTTTCATCTTTATTGTACTTTAATGAATATTACTATGTCCAAGTTTTCACCAGAAATGTGTGAAGTGTACATGACACTTACTCCACTTCTGAAATCAACAGATAAGCAATCGGTGCATCCGCACTTAGATTTAAATACAACGACTGTCGTTTCTTACACTAAGGCGTCTTTCATCAGGCTGCTAAGTGACGACCTCTAAAATTTTGCACATTGTATCTATTTGTGAAGTGCTGCAAAGGTTATTGAGACAACTTCATGAGATCAATCAATAACCTCTTAATATATGTTGTTGGGATGCAACAATACAATAATACTGATGGAGGGATCTTCATGTCTGAGTGACATGAGATATTTTAATGTAAAACCTGTCTTTTCATGGATAAAGTGGTTAGTGATTGCATACTTTTTCTTATTCCACACATCCTAGGCGGAACATGCAGCTTCAAGCTTTATAAGTTTCGGAGGGTATGATATTTCTTTTCTTACTGGGTGAGGTTACTAACCTTCCCCCTTTTCCAGGCTTATTATATATCACACGGAGTCCTAGAGGTGTAGCGGCTGTGATTCGAAATATAGCTGCGTACATGGTTGGCCAGCATTATACCGTTGACGCGTGGCAGAAAGCTGAATACAAACATACTAAGATATTAAATTTTACTCACTGAATACCAGGTTAAAAGTTGCACCTGTCTTAGTTACAGCTTCAAAAGAGTCCGTATGTAACGACAGAAGGCAAGAGTCAGGCAACAGATCATTTATTAAGGAAATCAACGCATATTTATATATTTGCATGTACATTACTATGGATATTTAAGTAAACAAACACAGTCTTCAGATTGGTTGTTTCTCACGTAAAGTTAATCTTTCATCTATTTGTGACTGTTTCTTGAATGTCAAATCCTCTATATGTTAACTGCATCCGCCTACGCAAAGTCTGCTGTGGTCGGTTTTCAATCAATCTTTGTTCACATTTTCTCACGACAAATCTTGGGAACGTAAATATTGACGTAAATTACTGTCTACCAATTTGGCTAGTAGACAACTCTCACCACACGTATACAATGTTTAAATTTACCGTGATGATAAATTTACCAGTAATTTAGTGCTTTGAGAAACGGATCTCATAGAAACATCTCAGCTAATCAGAAATCGAATTCCAGGGGAACATATTCCACAATCAGTGTGTTATTTATTCGTGGAATTCACAATTTTTCATATTCACAATTGTCAGTTTACCTCATATCAGGAATAAAAACTGCCAGTAGAACAAAGTATAATTCAGTAAATCCGAAGGATGTGAGCAATTAAAATCCAAGGAAGGAAGACTAATGTTTGAATAGACAACGCAAGCACTTTATCATATGCATCGACACTTTAAGAGTATAAGCATCAACACAGCTGTATATGGTAAGAGGAGTTTTGTTTCCATACGGACGCTGACCAAAACCTAGGCGAATTGTTTCGCAATAATTGGGCGCCGAGTGAAAAGTAGACATATGCTAAAATTATGAATGTGTAAATCTCAGAGAAATAGGAATGAACAATCCTAACGTTTATTTCGGCAAACTGATCCGAACTTCAGGGAGATAATTGAAATTAAAGTGCCAGAGGTATATATATATACATAAACTCATCGTGACAGCGTGTCAAGATTAGGCACTTCCTGTCTTCAGGATACAACACTTGAAAGTTTATCCTAATTCTCCCATGATATAAAATGTGAACAGTTGACAGTACTTTCATCAAAGCCATCACAGAACTATCAGTGATGCTTTGAAGAACATCTAAATCACTCATCTGACATTATTTATACATAATAATAAAAGAAGTGTTAGATGGTTGAAGGCAATTGGCAGGAAGGTGTATCTTCAGCCTTGAAGGAACCCGCGTCACCCAGTGCTGCAGTCAGAGACGTTACCACTGAGCTATTTGGGCTCGCGATTGACCTCCTGTAGGACTGTATTGGATACTTTGACGAGTGCTGAAGAATGCCAACTAGCATGAAACCTAGGTCCAAAGCTTCCTGCCGATTGCCACCAATCATCTTATATCATCAAATCAATGTGCACCGTGATGACAAGCTACCTAGAATGGTGGCCACATTGCAAACCTGACTGATAGAATTCAGTCTGCACCAAAGAAAGGACTAGACACATCACACTAGTTACTAGTGTCCAATCAAAATAAAAGAAATGCTAGTCAGAGTTTAAGTTTGTGAACATTCCACCGATTTCCGATTGGATTTCATCATAAACACAAATAAATTATTGGAGACTGGTGAGAAATGAAAGCATATAAGTTCCTCATTTGGGATTTTTCACCTGCCCGCATGAGGGGTCGTGTGTAGGATTCTCTAGCTGAAAATCAAATAAATAGCCACTTATCTGCTGCAAGAAAATTCAACAGCTCTTTGTTATCAAAACATAAATTTATCAGATACAGTTTGTGTCATGAATAATTCCCATCTACGAATCAATAAAAAGGAAGAAACAGGTGGTTTAGAGAAGAGGCTCCTTTCGAAGAATTCATTCTCTTTAACTGTATGATCACATTTATATAAAATCTTTTCCTTTCCTTCATTACTTTGAAGGAGACGTTTGTTGAGAAATAAAGACTAGTAATGACAAGGTGTTCGACTCTCACACTCCTTATACACCCACTACTGCTTTTCTGCAGCCATGAGAGATGCACTTCTGAAACCCTTTTAGGTAGTATACACTTTGAACGATGAATATACCTGACTCTGCAAGAACAGATGACTCGATGTATGCATGCAGAAGTGATCAGATGTTGGATCGGGTCCTTAAGGATTCTGCAGACTACTGGACGACTGGAGAAGGTTACTCATGGCGTTGCTGAGAAGAATGTTCTACTCATTGATAACATTCTTCTCCAAAGGATATTGCAGGCCTGCAGTCTCTCTTGAAATCACCGTTCATGTAAAGTTTCATATTTGGCATAAATAAGGTTTCGTTCCTCTGAACTTCTAGTTTCATGTTACTGAGCGAAATTCATTCATTAAATTATTCGTCCCATTACGTAATTCCGGCTCACTTATTAAACTCCTCTTATTAGTTGATCAATATCAACAACTATGACTAATGAAAACTCATTAGTTTTGTTATTATCCTCTTTTGAGAAGAAATAGATTTTATATAAATGCGATTGTGCAGCTGAAGAAACTGAATTCGTCGAAATTAGCCTCTTTACAGATTCAACTCACTCTAGAAGTGTTCTGTACTAGATTTCAGTTTTTGTTATTAACTTAAAGTGTTACAGACACGCAGAAAATTCATTTCGTAAGTTTGCTTTGTTGGCGGACTTTATCTAAATAATTCCTGTGCTAATCCTCATTCTACTGCACAGAGATAACTTTGCCTAATAATACACGCATAATAAACTATGTTCCTTATGTCGATATTTAAGAAGTTTCTGACGCAAATCCTACACTCATTTTTGATATCTGAATTTGTCGTCATTACGAAATCTAAATACTGTAGGAAAGTTTAGTGACCATCAAGAAAATATGAAGTCCGACAAATGGCAAATGGTGATTTGAAGTACAAAAATCAAGCAGAATCTAGAGGGTAATCAGAACGAAAAATGAAGTGAGTTGTCGGATGAGGCGTTAGTCACTTTCGAAGTTATTTTCTATGATTCGAAATAAGCGCCAAGAAAATCTAACTCATAGTCGACCATTTAAAATTTTAATTGAACATCATAAATGTTTATAACGGAGTAACCAGTTTTACTGGATTTGAAGTAATAGAAATGACTGAAATGTCTGTGATAAATTACCTCCTAAGCAGTTACAATTCAGTCTAAGAATAAAGTACAAATCTTGGTAACTGGATTGTACTCACACTGTTGGATTGTTCCGCTAAATGCATCGACTTTATGTCTTCTAATTCAAAAGAAATATAATTCCAAGGCCTGTATGAAAACAGTCTGCAAGAAGCAAGTAAATCGATAATTTAGGGGTCAAATGCTCACCAACCGCTCACATGCTCTGAATTCGACTCCCGGTAGATGGACTCCTGATCTTCGCATAGACGGTAATGAGTTTAGAAAAGCGGGAAGCTTATGTATAAGGCTACCATCCCGAAAACATAATACCACTGTTACCGTAACTACGAAAGCAACGTTTGTTCCACTTGGAACGCATGATAATGAAAAATAGGCTTTATGCGACTAGCAACGAAATGCATCATCTCCAAGTTGATTTCAGTCTACCAGTCGTTTGAATGATAAGCAGAACTTCAAAGTGAGTGTGAAACTTAATAAGAGAGAGAGACTGTGCCGCCTTGGGCACTCGCTGAGTGTAAAACGACTGTTAGTAGAAAGATGGCACAGACACAATGTTTCAAGTATCACACAATAGAGCAGGACAGAGCTAAAGTTTGATGATGTAATATAATCAGGTCGAGGGAGGTGCTGATCACCGGATCTTTGTTCATCGAATACACACACCCAACACTTTCAGTCGAAACAGAAAATACTACTGCAAATAATGTCAAAGGATAGGAACTAGGTGGAATCACATAAACAAAACGTAAAAGTCAAGTGAGTGCCTTGATATGACTATGAGTAACCCACGGGGTTCAACACTTCATCAGTAAGTAAACAATAATGTTGCATTTCAAAAATATTCTCTTTAATGAAAGTTGCTTTCCATGCCTAAATCCAACAATGGCTACTCATATATACATAGAATAAGCTAACCAACCATGTATGCAGTCATTGTTTCTCAAAAACGTATATTACTATTTATAGCATATATATACAAACAAAATAATAGTATATACTTACTGAAGAGAATCTGTTCAACTGTATAATTAATTGTCAGAGTGCTCAATAAAACGTATCAATCAGACGACTTTGAGAAGTGTAATGGCTTTATCAAAAGCAACAATGAGCTTTATTAAGAAGAATGTAAATATATATATACATAGCTGAGTACTATTTATTTATTTATATTGACTAACAGTTTCAGTTAACAGTCTCTTATAGGTTGGTGCCGTCAGTGTATTTATGGCATTCTGTCATTAAGGTGTGTGCTGATATGTCCTCAAGCTTATGCTTTTCTTGTCGCTGTTCTTATCACGTGACATAGCTGTCTATGTATATATGTATATGCGCATTTAAGAGACGATGAGCATGATAAGCAGCACTAGAATACAGTGTTAACACAGCCTCGTTTCAGATAAATAGTAAGTTAATAACTAGTTACGCACAAACAAAGTCCACTTTGTTCACAAAACGTTTATTGATTACTGAATATATATATATATATATATATATATATATATATATATCGCAAAACAAACGACATAAATCATGGATTATTTTAATAACCTTTCATGAAATGTTTTGAACAGTATTAATAACAATAATAATAATTTGAAGTACAAAAGTTGTTATGATAAGTTAGATGTAACGAAGGCAAGAAACTCTTCGAAACTCAATTTGCCATTACCATCTTTATCATGTTCACGTATCCATTCATCTAGCACTGAACGTGATACTGTCATGCCGGCTTCATCGAATAATTTTTGCATTTCATTAGCGTCAATCTCGCCACTTCTGTCTTGATCAATTTGAATGAACAGACGTCGCCATCTAAAGTCAATCAATCAAGGAAATAGCAACATGTCAGAACAGACTGTCAGTAGTAGTAGTAATAGTAACATGACTAGAAACTGTGGGGCAGACTCCACTTGACCTAAGAAATACACTGGACATAGGCTTGATTTCAGTAATTTCCAAGCTCCCACTTACCTCTAGCATGATCTACGAGTACGACCTCCATATTGGCTTGTTTATTAGATGTATCACACAGTCACTGAAACAGCATTATTTACTGAATGACGTTTCGAACAAAATTTTTTATTGTTCATAATCATATAAATTATAAATACACGACTTCGAAACTTGAGTTTTATGGCTTCCTTTGTTCTTGCCTATTTGTCGTCGTTGGGGTAGTAGAATTTTCCAGATATCCGAATGGACAGGTGTTGAATCATTCCTATTACACTTATTCTCTCTCAGTTGATTCGATAAACAAAGTTTATGTTATCAATCTCTCCCTCCACCCTGTGACATGAGATTTTAAAACTTTCATCTTATCCTATCCATCCCGTTGTATGGTTGTGTGTAATTGCATGTAGTGAGTGGTGTAGCTGAACTATTCTCTAGGTTTCTTATCTTATTCGGGTCAACTAATCTAGATTTTGCTAAGTTTTTATGTTCAGCTAGTCTGACTGCCCCTGTTCTGCTACTTTGACCTATGTATTTGACCTAACAATCATTAGCAGGGTATTAGATGAACTAAATTGTTTTGTTTTAAAGGCTCCACAGGATTGATCCTTTAACCGACAAAGCTTGTTTCTAATTGAGTTTATGGGTTTGAATGCCACTTTTATTACTGCGAGAATGGTTAAGAATTCTGCGTAAGGTTTCCGAGGTTCCTTTTTTAATACTGTTTCACTGTGTGATATATCTAATAAACAAATATTGCAAACAACGAAGAAAATTTTATTTTTGACGATTCATGGAATTACTTACTACCACAGTGACCAAGTTTTACACATATATTACCAGGAGTACGACTTTTACATATAGCAGAGGCAATCGGAAACCATCTGAACGAGCCAAATCTCTGTGTCAGTTCAAAAGAAATTTGTACAGCCCCTTTCTTTGCCATGACCAACTAAATAATATGATTAAGTTTTTAAAACTCTTGTAACTATCTTTTGACTTTGTTATTTTTACAATTTTTACAATTCTAGCTAATTCTATTAACTTGTTTGTATTTTACGTAATTCTTCTGAGTCATCCTATTTTTCTTAGTCATCATTGCTATTTTACAAATTTTTGGTTGTGTAATACCTTGTTGCTAACACCTAAGAATCAACCTATCTTGAATTATTCACCCGTCTTTTAAAACTTAGTCATCTTGTTAGTAACATCTATTAGTTATTTGTTTTGATGACCTTAGACCACTTGATTTAACCCCACCCCGCATATACCTAAAACTGATTAACTAAAATAATCACTTGATTTTTCAAAAGAATGGACACTGAACAAAGGGTACTCTTTTCGATAAATTCATCATCAGGCTCTACAATTATATATACATTATAGTGAATGAATTACTCTTATGAACGACATTAATGTTGTTTAAATAAAATAAAATCACTAATATTGATAGATTACAGCTGAATAGCATCAACATAAAATAAACTGAATGTCAGAAAAATTAGGAAAGATAATAGTACAAATTCATGAATTTATAGTCTCTACTGAAGGCCGGCCAGGGCAGTAGTAGGGGCTGGACTTGTTTCTTTTGGACACAGAGCACTGGTTGTTTGAGGCGAATTGCAATAGCTTCTGCTGTTTGGAGCATGCGGTGCTTCGACGATTTTGGTAATTTTTTAGGCACCCGGTATATTATAGAGAAGGATTCTTCTGCGCTGGCTTTGTGACCGGTTTGCACCAGATGGTCTAATATAGAGTTGTTAATAGTTTTAACTACACCTTTACTTAGCTATAGTGGGATATGTTCTCAAGCATGAAAAATCAAGTTCGTAGAGCAACGGCCAATATAACTCGCTCCACAAGCGCAGTTGAATTAGTAGATACAAATTGAAGTGGCTAGCTAGTCTAGGTACTTCATCTTTCAGTCGAGGTAGCACTTGATTGGTAAAACATGTTGATGTGAAAAACTATATATTAGTGTAGAGCCGATGATGAGTAACTAATTGAGAAGGAATGCATATTTCTTCACTCAATCTGTTGTTTTTCTTATGTTGATTTATTGACAGACTTCAGGAGTGTTTTAACTGTGTGATAAACACTAAGTGTGCACAGTTATTTAACTAAATATGTGTAAATTTACTAATGTGAACTAGATAAGTCAAATTCACAATTTTCAATTTAGCCAGTTTTCGAGGTGAAATTTCACCAGAGTTTCCCTTGGAAACCAAAGTAATTCAGACCACAGTATACGATCTGCTTGGCACTATAATTGCCAGCCGAACCATCGAAGCATGTGAACACCGAAGGTTGGTTTCGTCTGTTTGGAGCCGAGCTCAACAACACAGTGTACCCGATTTCATTGAGCTCAGAAAGCTGGGTCGGTTCCTGAAACGACAGTCTATCTGCACAGTCTTTAGTGTCTGTGTTTTATTCTGACAGCTGAACTCAGTACGAAGTTATCTTGAAACCATAAGTTTAGCACAATAGGTATAAGTTCAATTTATATCATGAATCTTATGCCAAACTTCGTGCATCTTAGGATTAGTGGTAAAATACTCACCAACAAACGACACATGTGGTCTGGGGTTCGATCTCCAGTCAACGGGCTCTTTAACCTCTCCTAGCCTGTACTAAACCCCGTAAAGAAGTAAGGTTGGGAATGAGGTTAGATGACCCACTCCATAAAACATAAACACTACTGCTGAGACTTCAATGCTCAAGCTTTGAGCCCTGTGCTGCACTAAGAGCGCAAAGAAATTAAATAAAATAAGATGCTTCATTTCATAAATTTTGAGACAACTAAAATACATGAAATTCTACAATGTGGAAATTAATAAACCAATAGATACAGTTATGAATAAAGTTAAGAAATCCACAGCTGACCTTATACGACAAATGAAGCCGTTTCTAGGCGAGTCTAAGTGGTTTAATTTAATGCCCGAAACTAATAACCCCAGTAGGATGTATGGTGTTGTTAAAGTTCATAAGTCAGGATACCCTATTAGGCCTATAGCTGATTTTAGAAATTCACCTACTTATGAATTATCTAAATATTTAGCCACGGTATTAAATCCCCTCAAAAGACACTCAAAATCTAGACTAACAGATTCCTATGAAATAAAACATAGATTAGATAATTTTATAATGAATAAAAAGTGGTTAGTTTTGACATTGTCAGTTTATATACACGTATACCAATAAATATGGCTAAAGAGGCAGTCAGAAACGAACTCATTTCTGACCAAGAACTCGAACTTAGGACAAAAGTGCCACTTGAGGACATAATGCTGGGAGTACAGCTATGCTTGACTTTCACAGTATTTAAATTCCAAGGGAAATTATACAAACAAACTGAGGGAGTTGCCATGGGATCACCAATATCCCCGGTTGTAGCAGATACATTCATGGATAGGTGGAAAAACATGGTGATTGAAACGTTCACCCACACCCCAAAAGAATGGTGGAGGTATGTAGATGAAACATTCACTGTACTTAGAACACAAGATATAGATAGGTTTTTCGAACACATCAACTCGAAGGTTGAAGCAATTCAGTTCACTTATGAATTGGAAAATCAGGAAGGGGAGCTCCCAATGTTAGATTGCAACGTAAAGAAGAAGGAAGATGGGAAGGTAAACACTAGTGTTTACAGGAAACCCACACACTCAAACAGATATTTAGACTTCCGATCGTCCCATCCTATGTCGGTAAAATTGGATTGGTGAAATGTTTAAATGACAGAGCACAAAAACTAAGTAGTATCAAGGAAAATCTAAGACAGGAAGTGAGACATATAAGAGAAGCCTTGAAACTTAATAATTAGCCTGATAAATTAGTCAGAAAGTATGTAAGGAAAGGTAAAAATAAAATAAATAATGATAGCAGTGATAGTCATAATAATAGTAGTAATATTAATGATGACATGCATTTCAAATGTGCGCATCACAACACCAACAATAAGGAATCTAAATCATCTGTAGTAATTCCATACAAGGAAGGAACCTCGGAAAACTTAAGCAGAATGCTGGCAGGAATAAAAGTGGCTGGAATTCAAACCCACAAAACGATTAGAAACAAGCTTTGTCGGTTAAAGGATCCTGCCTGTGGAGCCTTTAAAACAAAACAGTTTAGTTTATCTAATACCCTGCTGGGATGATTGTCACTTCAAATACATAGGTCAACCTAGTAGAACAAGGGCAGTCAGACTGGCATAACATGAAAACCTAGCAAAATCTAGATTGGTTAGCCCGAATACGATAAGAAATCTAGAGAATAGTTCAGCTATAGCACTCACTTCATGCAATAACACACAAACATACAATAGGATGGATGGGATGAGACGACAGTTTTAAAATCTAATGTCACAGGGTGGAGGGAGAGATTGATAACCGAAGCTTTGTTTATTGAATCAACTGCAAATACCTGTCATAGGGATGGTTGAACACCTGTCCAGTAGTATATCTGGAGAATTCTACTACCCCAACGACAACAAATAGGCGAGAACAAAGAAAACTATAAAACTCAAGTTTCAAAGTCGTGTGATTATAAATGGCAGTATGATTATGAACAATAAATTTTGTTCGAAACATTGTCATCCAGTGAACAATAATACTGTTTCACTGTGTGATAAATCTAATAAACAAACTAATATGGAATTACTTACTACCACAGTGCTCAAGTATTACACATATATGAAATTCTACAACTCTGATATTTAATTTCATGTGATTCAATTTAAATGAATCAACTAAATTTGGAAATTGTGCTTGAGAATCTACCTATCGTAACGCAAGTGTAACTGTCAGCTACAGTTTTAACTTCACTAAAACTTAATACACTGCATAAAAACCAACTATATAGGG